CCTTTGTAAGTTCATAATACATTCCAATTCAGTTTTATTAAGCATTTGCTTTGGTTGATCTAGTCGTGTTTTCCATTTATTTTATTTAATCGCATTATTTTCTATTGTCTGCCCTTCGCTTCTTTGTTATCTTTGATTTCTTTATCTCATTAGTATTTGTCTGAGTGAAAAAAATTACTTCAGTAAATGTGTGCTGTTTTATACAATATACATTATTTGCTGTACCATCTAATTCTTTCTGGAACTGTTGTGAAAACTCTTGTAGTTTTTTGTAATAAATCACTGCAGAATATTATCAAAGATTTGGAGGAAAACAACTTGGAAAAAGAAACCAATATCAGAATTGAATTCTAATATTAAAACACAAACACACACAGGAATAATTATTTTTTTATTTTGAAGCATTTGAAAAATGAAAAGAGATTAATATTTCACTTCCCCTTAAGCCAGAAATTCAAACTACTCTGCATATTTTACTTTTAGTTGGTCCCTTTGTCATACCTTTGTTTGTGTGAACTTTATTTCCTCCCTTGCTCCTCCCTCATTATTTTAGCAAAAAATATTTACAAAGAAGAAGCTGGTAAAAATTCAAGCATGACGTGCTTCTCTCCTTGACCCCTGGTTTCTGGCTTTCCTCAACATTATAAATTTTTTCTTTAAAAAAAAATATTTTAAGAATTCTGGATCCAAATATAGGATCTGCATCTCCAGCATTTGATCATGGCCTATTTGAAAATCATGCCAAAGTTCTATTTTAGTAGGCTATACAATGATTTCATTTAGGGCAGACACAACTGGGTAGAACAAAATTTAAAACTTCAGCCAGAAGAATTGCCAAGTTCTGCCAGTAATTCTGAGCTGCTGGCAGAACATTTCTTGATAGCATTAACATCCTTCAGTGTGCTGAAATAAGTGCTCTTTCCTCTTTGCCCAGTAAGATTTTAATATCATGACATCAAGCAGCTTTCAAATCCACAAACTATAATATGACAGTTATCTTCTAAAAGATATTGTCAGGCAATATGACAATACATTATCATGGTACATGGCATAGCATACTTGCTTGAACTAAGAAGATATGGTCTTAATATTTTGGAAGGAGGAGCAGATAAAAAATCATTGGAACTTTTCAGCTAGAAGATGGGAAGTAATTATAATATATTTGTATCTTGTATGTTTGTATCTTGTTAGTGACCGATGAAAATCATTCATTCAAAAATATTCCCTAAAACAAGGAAAATGTCCACTGTTTCACTTGAAACTATTTCTTTCCCAAATAAGGTGTTGTGTGAATCTCATAATTGTAGTTTATGGTAATGCTAATTCATTAACACCCTTTAAAAAAAACCTTGCATTATCATTCTGTGGGAATAAATACATAAAATAAATAAATCTGCTTTGCATCATGGATCATCCTTGTGACAGTTCAATGGTTTCTTACCTACCATTCTCTGAATCTAGCAGAAAGGACTGAAGAATCAATTAGCAACAACAGCAAATTAGTGATAGTTCCCACAAAGCATCTCACTCTGTTCCAAAGATGTTAAAATAAGAGATACTGTTTATGGAACAGTCACCAGTTACGTAAATCTATATAGAAAAACTACCTATAATGAGAAATGGTGGGATAGATATGGTTAATTGCAGCCAACAAGGGAGTAATTTCCTTGCCAGTAAGACTGGAGTTTTCCTGAGAAAAGCAGCAAGCAGCTGAGAAAAAGTGTAATTGGAAGAGGACCAGAGAGAAAGAGGGAACAGGTCAGCTTTATCTATAGCAGGGCTGTCAAACTCCCAGCCCGCAGACTGGACACATCACATGCTGGCCACACCCATGTCTGGTTTAGCAAAGGAGGATAAGGTCCTGATACATCACCTGATGACATCATGATGACATGAGTTTGACATCCCTGGTCTACCGCAATGTTTTTTTCAAATTTGGCAACGTTAAGAGTTATGGATTTCAAATCTGGCTGGAAATTCCTGAGAACTAAGGTTCATACTTCTTAAAGTTGCTAATTTTGAAAGATACTGTTCTTAAAGGAGAAAAATACTTGTTATAAAGGAGTCCACTGAGTGAGGTAAGTTTGTGAAATAAACTTATATAACTATGTACTAAAACTAGTTCTTAGGGAGAAATTGAGATTGAACAAATATAACGTTGATATTCATATTCATTATCCTGCATTCAGGATATAGGCACTTATATTTATAGAATATAAATATATATTTATAGAATGTAATATGAATTTTTGACACCTTGTGACTAATCTGGGGATGGACACAATAGATGCATTTGGTATACATACATTGCACTCTTTTACAAACACAACATTTACACGTACAATGAATATTTAAACCAATCCAATAATAGCTGAGCACCAGTATGGTGCAGTGATTAAGGAATCAGGCGAAAGAGTGATTAAGGAATCAGGCAAAAGCAAAAGACTGTGAGTTTTATTTCTGATTTGGGTATGAAGTCAACTGGGTGACCTTGGGCCAATCATTTTGTTTCAGGCCTAACAAGTATGCAGTGCCAAATCATTTTGGAATCCCTGCCAAAAAATGGCACCAAATGTCCAGGCAATCCCTAAGAGTCAACACTGATTTGAAGGCACAAAAACCAAAATGCTCTTATTTGATGTTGTGCTGTTTCCCATGAAAACAGGTCTAGCACAATAGCAACTTTTTGCTATTGTTGTAATGTTCATGCATACCATGGTGCATGTGAACAGTTAATAGAAGCTTATTTCACTACACTAAAAATGCAGGTGTTTGAAGCTAGCTAATATAATTAAATCTGCAAAACTACCATGCTTTTGTTTATTTCAGTTTTCCTTCTATATTTATTGTTGATTTTGGAAGATAAAATAATGCAAATTAATTTATCCCACCCATTTTTCTGCCCAAATTCATGATGCTATATTTTAATCTGATTCTTTATTTATCTCTTCTAGCCATAGTAAATGCCTTGAAAAAATATCTAAAAATCTATTTGAGAATAGCATATAGGGTTGTTGTTACTTCACTGACACCGATTCATCTTACACAGGTCCTTTCATACTTTGGCACTTTCCAAAGCATGAAAGGCCTAGTGTAAAACTAAGATTGATTTAAGATGCCTCTCAGAAGGGACTGCCAAGGTGTACATAAAATGGTCTGTGTTAGGGATAACATTGTTTACCTAACTTAGTTTGGGTAAAATAATATATAAACTATGTTAGTTAGTTTAAGTGTATGTATCACTTTAAACTGTAAACCAAGTTTTTGGGTGCGGTTGTAAAATCACCATAAGAGGGAGCAAGAGAGCTCACTGTTTTCTCGGCTTTTACTGGAATGCTGACAATGAAGGATTGATGGTGATAAACTGCGTGTTTGCTGAGAAGAAGAAAGGAGGTTTGATTTTCTTCATATCTCTGACTGCAAAAGAGATATATCACAGGACTGATTGATTGTAAGTTTACTGACCTCTTTTTCGACACTGGACTTTGCAAACTGAATAACCCCCGGACTGACTGAACTTAGTGTATGACATATGGACCGTTTTGGCTATGCTATAACTCTTGCTGGAATAAAAACTATTTAACTTGCGCAGTGTATCTGTCTTACTGAGTGTAAGCTACTACAACGTTTTGTCTCACATATCTGCCTGTCTGCTAGACTGCCGTTGCACATTCTGCTAGGGTGTATATCCCTAACAGTCTGAGTATTACCATGGTTTTGTAACAAGAGAAGAACAGAGAGAGGTGTTATCTTATGCAAAATGCACTGTATTGCATTTAAGAATGGACAGCTTTGAATACATTTTATTAGAGCTGGGTTAATCCATTGTCTTTCCATTTTACTCAGTTTTGCTGAACTATCAGTCATTTAAAGAATGTACAACAGAGAAAACAAATATTTGCATGCTACTGGTTTAATAGGAGGATTTTAAAAAGGTTTTCTATTATTCATGGAGGCCAAGCTTCAGGCATTGTTTACTTTCTCTTTCCTCAGCCTCTAACCTTCCAGCTCCTATTATTCTCAGCAGGAAAGAAATGCTTAAATCACTGTGGCTGTTGAATTAGGGCTGTGGAGAAAAAATGTCTGAAACCCTGTCCAGCCATAAAACTTAGGAGAGTTTTCAGCCACTCAGTATTTCTCAGTCTAAATCTACCTTATGCTTGTTGTGAGCATGAAACTGGAAAGGCATACAAAATATGTTGTTTTGAGATCACGAAGAGAGTCTGCTAAATAAATATAACCAATATAATAAATAAAACAAAATTAAGAAGTTTACAACATCCACTGTAATTCCAAGCCAATCTATATGGAAAAATATGTAGATATTTTTTTTCTTTTTCTAAGGCTAGCTCTTCTCCCCAAAAGACAAAATATGGCAAAGTTGAGGATGATGTATTTCTGATTACTTCTAATGTTCTTCTCTATGGAAAGAAGTATATAAACCTGTCATAGCTCAGCGGGAAAGGACTAGATTTGTTTACGGAAAATTCCTATTTTAATTCTTGGTATTGTCAGGCTTGCCACCCTGCTAGACCATGCTTTGCTTGCTGTCAGTGTTCCATACTCAGTGGGAGGAAGGTGAAGACCTGTGGGGTGGGATAAGGTAGGATTAGTAGAAGAAGAATAGAAACTAAGCATTGTGTCATCTCGTGAGAGTCATTGGCAGTTCCAAGGTCATACTATGAAATGCTGCAACCATCCAGCCTGCGAAGACAGGGACTGTTACCCAAACAATGTGTTTGAATCCAATTGAACACTTAAAGATAACCAAGGGGGAAGACTTAGAGAAAGGGAAAAGTGAACCGTATGCTTTGTGCACAAAAATGTCAAATCTGGCTTTGCATTTCTGTAACAACTTGGTTTTAGTAAAGTATACTTTTGCTAACAATGGATTTGAGGGTCCTTTTTTTCCAAACAAAATTGCAATGATTGACAGGTATACTCAGATATTGTTGGAAATCTTCCTTTTATAAATCATAGAACTACCACAGCCAATGTTTGTTCATATTCACTAAAAGCAGCTTCCTGAGATTTATTGTTAATTTACAAAATCCCGTTACATAATGGGTTGATGTAGAGATGACTCATTTAGATTTTCATTCATACATGAGCATATGATTCCTATATACCTTTTGTATTTTAAGAATCTTATGCTTGGAATACTGAAAGCTTTTCTCTCCTTCTAAATTACTTGTATCATATTTTCAATATCTGTTGTTTATATCTTTTGAGGGGGAAGAGCAAAAGGAACTTGTTAATATTGTACATGAAGTATATTGAAGCAAGAATGCTGTCATTAGAATGTAAGGAAACCATCTGTCAGCTTTCCTGCTGCTTAGCAATAATGTATTTAGAGATTTGGAGAGATAGGAATGGACTGCATTAATGAATGTCCTTACTATAGTAGTAGTAGGGGGGTGGATAAGAATTAACACGAGGAGAAAAAAAACTTTGCAAAATTTGTTTAGATGAATGAAAATCTTTCTTGATTGTTTTCACTCAGCTGCTACATAAAAGGTATGTTTAAAGCCATTAGCATGTTCCAAAAAAAAAAGAAAAAAAGACCAGAGCCACTTCCGTAATGAAAGAGTATTTTAATGTAATTTTGAGAATGTTGAATTTCCTCAAAAGGATGGTGTTTTCCAAGCAATGGAAAACGATCAGTGAAGGAACAAGTTGGTTCATCTCACAAAAAGGTTTCTAGAATCTAAGCATAATTACCAACAACTTTTTAATACCCCCAAATGGCCAGTCTACAGCAAGTATAAGCAACATATAGTCCTAGAATGGCATAGAGAAGGTCTTTGGCTTCTTCCTTGTGGTTCTTGACTTAATTTCAAAGTTCCTATGAAAAGACCTTGAATTATAATTAGCTGTTTACACCATTGAAATAGTTGGATGCTTGGGAATATCAGAAAGAAAAATATGAGAAGTTAAGAAAGGGAGGAAAAAGAGGTGTTATAGAAAATGAAGGTCACTAGCTTCTTTTGGCTATGGTCATGCAGACAGGTTACTTCAGTTTGGTCAACCACATTCTATCAAATACATCATATCTAACAGGAAAAAAAAAACCTGTTCAGCCTTGAACTAAATCAAGAGATATGCTAGGAGAAATATATTGCCTCCCTGAAGGCTACTTTACCAGAGGTTGGTAGATGATAATGGCATATTGCATTTATTGACCAGCTTACAAATCAATTGTATTTTTGCAGTATATTCAAGTATACATGAAAACATCTTTCCTGTGAATAGGGCTCAATAGTTCAATAATATTGGATACTAATGCTAACTCTGTCAATTGGTGTTGTGGCTAATATGTGAACTGCCATTGTTCAATATTACCTTACCTCACGTGAATTCCTCTCATGAACATGTTGTAGTAGGATTTTTTAAAAATACATTCCATGTACATATGTATGTATGTATGTACAGTAGGATTTTTAAAAATACATTGTATGTATGTATGTATGTATGTATGTATGTATGTATGTATGTATACAATAAAAGAAAATATTTGTAGCTCAGGATTGAAATAAAGGGTCTTTGGTGTTCTCTGAGCTTGGTTGTTTTCTTGCACACATTTCATTACTCAAATTAGGTAATATCATCAGTAAGTAAGTAAGCATGCATGCATATATGCATGTAAGCATTTATGCATGTATTATCCCACATTTATTACTTTTTTATGTAACTGAAAGTGGTGAATATGCAGAATAATAGAATTGTAAGGGGCCTTGGATGTTTTCTAGCACAATCCCATGCTTAAATAAATGGCTTTTCAACTCTTCTTGAAACCCTTCAGTGATGGAGCACCTATAGTGCCTGAAGATAAGTTGTTCCACTGAATAATTGTTCTCACTGTCATGACATTTCTCCTGAATTTTAGCCTGGATCTCTCTTTGATAATGGTGCATCCATTTTTTCCTGCTTTCAAGAATAGATTAACCCCGTCTCTGTGACAGCCCTGGTGAGAAAAAATGCAGAAGACTTTTTTTTCATGGCATAAATTTTAAGCAATCATGTAAGGAAAGTTGAAAATTAAAATCTATGGGAACTTCAACTTATATTTGTTGAAATAAGAATGTTAGATCTGTTGTACCCTATTAGATATTACTGTATACAACAGGTTATAACCAGACATAAAATTAGCCAGATTTTTGCATAGAAACATAGTAAAAATTTATTGCAGAACATCTTGTTCATTTACTTCTAGGGATCAGTGCATTATGTAACAAAAACAATGGATTTCTATTTCACAGAACAGAAGAGAAATATAGGCACTTTCAACTAAAAAAAATTTCTTCTCTAACCAATTATTTCTCATCCCTTGCTTTGAGATATAAAGACAACATTTTCGAAGGCAGAGGAAAGAAAAAAATGCAGCTTTTGTCCTTTTCAGCTTTAACCAGTAAGCTTACTAATGAAATCCAAGCAAGCTTACTATGAAATCCCATAGCACTAACCAGGTTATTCTAATTGATGAAAAGCAAGTGTAGGCTAGTGTGGGAATTGCTATCTGTTTCCTCGCGCGCGTGCAAGGACAACGGG